AAAAAAAACCCTTTAAACCCCCCAAAATTATTATATACTAAAAAAATTACCCCATAGGAAAAAAGGGGGCCCCCACACTTACTTTTTAGTTAAATTTTAAATTGACTTTTATCAAATTTTTGGGCTCATGTGCCAAAAGGGTTAAAAAACTAAAATCGTTTACTATTTAAAAAAAAGAATTTTTAAAAATTTGAAAAAATTCAAAGCAAACCTCAAAGGTGCATGCACATGGCTGCCCAAATTCTTGAAAACTTTAAAAACCTACGGGTAAATATTTTTTTAGAAATCATGAAAATTTTTGAAAATTGAAAATTTAAAAACAAGTAAGGGGCAATAATCTTACAAAGGGAAAAAACCAGCAAAACCCCCAAGTGCTTTACCCTTCACAGTGATGTTGATCATTATTTGTAAATTGGTTTGATTCTAATAAAAAGCACTCGGGGAAGTAAAAAAACCCAAAAAAATTAAAACGGTTTCACTAAGTCAAGGGCAAAAAATCTAAACAAAACAAAAAAACCCAAAGTAAAACCCCCAGGTACACAACTTCCCATGTGGCAACATTCCTTTAATTTTTAAAGACATAGATCAAAGTTTTTTAGTTACGGGGCGACAAATTTTAAAAATTGAAAATTTTTTTCCCGAAGTAAAAGGGCAGTAACCAAAAATACTAAACTACCCAAAATGAAAATACCAGGTACAAAATTTGCACATGCTGATCAACTTTCCTGTAAATTTAAAAATGACTCTGGGTAAAATACTTTTTGAGCTACATGTGAAAACGAGTTAAAATTGAAAATTTTTTAAAACTAATCAAGGGAAAAATTAAAAAAAACAGAATCAATCCAAATGAAACCCAGGTCCCCAAATAGACAGGGTAAGCAACATTCATGAAAGGTTTTTTATGACACTGGGCCCAAAAAACTTTTTACGATATGTCGAAAACAGTTTGAAAATTGCAAATTTTTACAAAGTAAAAGGGAAATTAAAACTCAAAAGATATTTAAATAATCCACACAAATTCCCCGGGTTTGCAAAATTTCATATCCCCTGGATAAACCCTTTCCCAAAGGGTTTTTTCATGACATTTATGTCGAATATTTTTTTGAGTTACTTTAACAAACACAAGTTAAAAAATTGAAAATTTTTTTTACAAAATTTAAAAGGGCAATAATTTAAAATACTAAAAAAAAATTTTTCCAAACACGAAAATCCCCTCTTTTAAAACTAAAAAATGTTTGAGCAACTTTTTTATGAATTTTTAAAAGGGAATGGGTAAAATATTTTTTGAGAAAACGTGCACAAAAATTAAAGGGTTTGAAAATTTTTAAACCAAGTAAAGGGAAATTTTAACCCAAAAAAATCCCAAAATAAGGGAAATGTTAAAAAAGTATAACCAAAAAAGACACTTTCCTCATGGAAACCCCAAAAAACTATGGTAAAAAAATTTCCTTTTTAAACCCCAATGTCCCAAAAAAATTTTAAACCCATGTACAAACTAAAAACTCTACAGCCCACAGGGTTTTTTATAAAGAGTCGTCCTCTTTTTGGGTACGAAATTGTATACCCATGAATAAATCAAATTTTTTAAAAGACCGTGCAAAATATTATAATCTCATAAAAATATTAAAATATCACATTTTTTTCATTTTGTTTGTATATATAATGTATATATAAACAAAATTTAAACCCAAACTCGTATAATCTTTTGTGAACTTGCTTTAACCTGAAGTTTTCGCGGGAAGGGCTTATTGCAAAACGATACGAAAGTAAACTGTAGACAATGTGTTTTTTTAAACCAAAGCACTTTGCTCTCGTTTGAAAATTGTTTTTCATCTTTTAAAAGTGATGAGACAATGTTCGTTTTCATTTTGTGTTAAAGCACGTTACGATGGAATATTTTTTAAAAATAAAGGTATGCAGTGTGGGTTTTTCCCACAAATTTTTAAAAGGGAAGTTTCGTATGTGTTTTTTAAATTAAAAAATTTTTTAAGTGTAAAAATGCTTTAAAAAAGTCCCTTTTCTATTGTATAAAATTTCAAATATTTAAAGTTGCCCTTTGGGCGGTTTCTAAAGGGGTTCTCTTATTTCTTTTTCCAATTTTTAAAATTTTTTAAAAAAGATTTTTCTATGTTTTGGCCCAAATAAAGTAAACTTTTTTTTAAATGTTTTAGTGAGTAATTGATATAAATTTAATAAAAGGTTTCTTATGTTGGAAATTTTTAAAAAGATTCGTTACTATTAGGGAAATTTTTTATAAAAAAACAATCCTTTTAAAAAAGGTGGGAAAATTTTATAAACAAAAAAATTTTAAAAGAAAAATAAAAAAAACAAAAAAAATGCCCCCGCATGTGTTGTCATATTTAAAAGGGACAAAGCTTTTGCATTAAATTTGCATGTATTATGACAAAAAAAAGAAAAACCTTTTTTTAGTAAAGGTCGTCCATGGCCCATGGTTTAAAGGGGTTGAATTTAAAACCCATACCATAATTTCTTGTTAGGTTTATCCCAAAAATTTTTTATTGATAAGGGGAATTTAATGGTTTTAAAGTAAAAATACATATATAAACAAATAAAAATAAGATTTAAATGTTTCGTAGTTTATTTTGTGTTATAGTAAATGTTAACTAAGTTTGTTTTACTGTGGGGGCCAAGGGGATCACTAGAGCGAAAAACATATTTTAAAATTCCCCTTTTTAAAAAGGGATTAACTTCATGTAATAAGTGTTAAAAAGCTGCTTTTCGCGCTTTATGATAACAAATTTTTTTAAAGATTTAAAAAACCACAATTTTTAAAATTTTTGGGATGAATTTAAAAACAGGGGTTTTGTTTTCAATTTTTTCTTATTAAACCAAATTTCCCCTTTGGTGAAAAATTTTCAAAAATTTTTAAAATTTGGGCTCTTTTAACCCGCTTTTGCTATTACGGGACGGGGAAATTTAAAATAATTCCCACAAAAGGGCATAGCCCGGTCGTATTTCAATTTTGAATAAAAATATAACAAGTTAAAAAGTTTTCTGCATGGGGAAAAGGGTTTTTTAAAGAAAAGTTTTAAAAAATTTTTAAAAATTTTTCATTTTAAATGTTTTCGGGGAAAAAAGTTTTTGGAAAACCCTTTTTTAGTAGTAGTTTTAATAAAATTTATATAGTAGACAAAAATCCATCTTTGAAAAATCGGCGACTGGGCGAAATCAGGAGACCCTAGAGGGTCGATTAGTAGAACGTCTGTTTTGTATAATTTTAGGGGGGTTTGAGATTTGTTTTTTACAATAATATATTGGCCCTTTGGGTTTTTTTTTCCCTGAAAAATTATCTTTGAAAAATGTTCCAATTTATGCCCTTGGGATAACCCGGGAATTGGCCCAGGGGGGCATGGTTTTTTTCCCTTTTTTTGTAAATCTTCAAAAAAACTCCCGGTTGAAAAATTTAAAAATTTAAATCCCACCCATATATATCTGAAACATAAACAAATGCCTCAAAAAAATTATTCAAAAATTTTAGTAGAAAAGTGGGATCCTAAGAGCTAGTCCTTGTTATACACCATTAAATTTCATAGGGAACTGGCGCCTTTTCAAAATTTCAGAAATGTCTTTTATAGCAACCAGTAATTTAAAAATTTTAAAAATTTAAATTTAAAAGGAAAATTTGTGAGTCCTTTAAAAACGAACCAAAACCCCGGGAAAATAGATTTTCTATACCCTGTTACTTTTAAAAGCAAAAAGTTTTCCCTTTCCCTGGCAAAACCCTGGCTTTCCATAGACCCGTGACTCCATAACAAACCCTTTATCTCCATAGCAAAACCCTTATTTCCCCTAAAACTGCTTTCTTTTTTAAAAAATATTGACGTCTTTTTTCAAACCCTAAAAATTTTATATTTTCCGGGGACTTCCTAAAAGCAACAATAGTGACTACATCCATTATTTCCAGCAATTTGAGTAACGATTGACTTAGCTCCTAGTGACATTCTATAAATTGAACCGTTCCATACAGATAGCAACCATACAATTCACTTTTGGCCATTAATTGCAGCCAGTGATATAATTGAATCATTGACTTCCTTTGCACTGACCGTATTTTCCATTGACTTTCTATTCTAATCAGCAACAACCAGTGACTTGAATTGTCTGCCCTAATAAAAACTGTTTGCAATTTCCATAACAACCATTGATTTCTATAGTAACCAGTGACTTCATAACAGCCATTGACTTTTAAAAGTAAACTGTATATTTCCATAGCAACAAGTGGCATCGTACAGCAAACGTTTACTTTTCTTAGCAACATGTGAATCTTCCATTGAATTTCATATCTTACAATGCCTTCCCAAGGAAACCACTGGTTTTGTATATCCATCAGTGACGTCTTTAGAAACTATTGTTTTTTCCTTAGCAAAAGCAACCAGTTATGTTTTTACACATGCACTATTTCAGATAAAATATAAACTTTAATAAAACATGATACCAGTTTTAGATTTAGATTTTATTTTTCGCTATCGCTTGAAGTTTTATAATAACACCCGTTCCTTATAAGGCCTATCGTGCCCCCCCCCCCCCCCCCCTTGTTTAAATAGTGGTAGAAGAGCTTATTAGATGTGTAATACAAGAAAAAGGGAGAGCTGAGTGTGATTTTTAAACATAAAAATATCACAATGTAAACAAAGTATTATTATATCCATACAAAATACTAATTTACTATTATTGTACCATATCTCAGAAAGCAACAGAAGCAAAATATGATTCAGATAATATTGGCCACTGAGTAATTCTTTAGAAACTATTACATGACACTTAAAATAAAAAAAACTTTTGAATAATAGAAATAAAAGCGTTCCTAGCGCAAGGGCATAATTTGCTTTTAAACATAGGTAAAATGTTGCATGTAATGCAGCTAGCTGGCTTAACACAACCATTAAGCTAATATATTAACTAAATTATATTAAAACGTTTTGTCATTTTTCCCAAATAAGATATATTAAGGTTACTTCGAAAATGATATTTATTTCTCCAGGACAACAGATTATTTACATCAGAAGAAAGTGCTTCTATACAACTAAAGGTGATGTCGATCAAGTCTTCAGGATTATCTTCGAATGTAACTAACATTAGTATTACTTATGTCGCCTCCCCTGACCATTACGTGTATTGGATTGGTCCGAGAGAAGATGGTAGAACATGGCACGGTATATCTAGTTTATTTGTGGTTTGAAATGATTTTATCAATTCTCTCCAACCCTCTGCATGTTTTATGCCCATATTCTGCTTATTGCAGCGTCTTTTTTGTGTGTAAGTTAATGAAGTCCGTGCACGTTGCTCTCTAGTTATGAACTACTGCCTCTTATTTGTTTGTTCGTTTGGGTTTTACGTCACACCGACACAGTATAGATCATTTGGCGACGTTCCAGCGTTTCTGGTGGAGGAAGTCCTCAGGTCCCCTTCCGTGCATTAATTCAGGCACGAACGGGCACCTGAGTAGAACCATCGACGTTCCGTAAGCTAGCTGGATAGCTTCCTGACATGAAAGAATCCAAAGTCCCTGTCGGGATTCGAACCCACAGCCGTGAGGGGCAAGTTATTTGGAGTCAACGACCTTAACCACTCGGCCACGGCCCAGCCTCTTATTAATATATAATTGTCGTTTGCACTGAATCACCAGTTCTTCGAATAAAAACAAAACGAAAGGGCTAAAACAGTAAAATCACTTAAAATTTGGTAAACATGAGATAAATAGAATAAAAGATATACATGTATGTGATATATTTGAGTAATATAGACATGGTTATTGCACAATAGAGTGTTTATTTAAATTTCAGGTGGTATAAAAACACAGACCATGCCTGGAAGTGATATATATACTGCTACTGTCGATGTGGTAAATCTTACTTCTCTTCGTTCTATTTACTTTCGACTGTTTAATGAAGAACATACCATATCGTTACAGCTTAACACCATTGCTGTAGAAACACCACAAGAACAGAACGTCAAACAACCACATTCAAAACTTTTTGAAATTGACACCATCTACATGGCACCAAACACTTCGGATTTAACAATAACAGGTGTTATGAATTTTAATTATTCATTCATGCATAGTTTTTCTCCAATTGAAGTCTTTTTTGAAGGCCTCAACACAAGTGCAGACCCGCCCACATACTTTGAAAAAATCGACTTTGATTCTGATAAAATAAGTGTAAGCTTTTCACAAAGATCAAATAAAACAACCAATTGTCATATAAAACTCGACCAGACTATCGTTAAATATGGCGGCTTTCTAAACATTCTTGTGCCATATAAGGAATCTTCGAAAGACAGAATGGTTGACATATATTCAAGCGGCACCGCTGTTAAAATTTATCCTTATGGCACTAAAGATATTCTACCCTACAATGAAGTCGGAACAATCCCACTCAAAAATCAGACAGTTATTTTTCCACCATCTAGTAAAATAAAGTGTTTAGCGATTGGAAACCCACGACCTACTGCTTCAATTTATAAGAGAGAAGATAATGGTGGGTATAAAAAGCTTGTAACAGAAACTTCTTATCTGGATAAGTACTCAAACGTTGAAGTACTTTCATTGTCGGCAAATAAACAGACACACGAGGGTCGTTATGTTTGCAGGTTAGTTAGTTATTTCAATAAACATTATTGTTACATCATATTTACATCTAAAACAGTTTACTTTTTTTACGACGTCAGACACCATCACGCCATGACGTCATTACATTTTGCGATATGTTACTTTTAAAATGTACATGTGGGCTTTACAGTAAATGCAATATTAAGGATATGCGAATATGTGAGGTAAACAAATACAAATTGTTTAATAATGCGCAATAAGAAAAACTTTTCATATCCTGATGTAAGATGTGTTTTAAAATAAATCCATATTTTATAGTAGCATTGTTTAATTTCGCTTTTTTTCTTCTTGTAAGGGCATCAAATGGTGATAAAACAGTGGAATCTGAAACTGACGTTGTCATGCTCACAAAAGCTATATTCGACGAATCTATGACCGGTGTTTTAGAGAACTCAAGCACAACTATCATTGTTTCTTGTAAGGCCACAGGGAAGCCGAGACCAGAACTTGAATTTCGTTTGTATGATGAATACGGCCCTTTTATGATACGATCTGGATTGTTCAAGGTAAACCATTCAACAAGATGTTACTGTAATTGTATTATTAGCCATTCACAGTCTGTCAACAATTTTAAACTACCTTAAATTCAAAATTATTATACAACAAAATTGAAGTTCCCTCGACTACCTGTTAAAAACTTAAAATGATAATCATAAACCCACATAGGTCTGATATTTCTTTCTTCTGACCTCGTCCAATGAGTGTTTTGTAAGCTACAGAAACTGAATGATTTTTGTTTTTGAAATAGAAAATGGTCCAAATCTGTAATAATATTATTACTAACTCTTAAACAATTACTCCTTTGATTTCGCTCTAGAATATGCATACACTTTTGATTTTCATAATTTTTTTAACATTATGTAGTTAGCATTGTTGGGTTACAACTTGCTTATGTTGCTATTTATACATATATATATTTGCAGATTTTGAAGACAAAAACAGGCCATTACGCATCGCAAATAACCTTAACGTTGTCAGCTGTAGAGGATGTTGATATACATACCGTTTATTGTTACGCTGCACAGGGCGATAAGAACAGAAGTTTTGAAATAAGCAAGAAAATTAACATTTTCCCTGAAGGAAGAGATGTTAACTGGAATCTCTACGACCGAGTTCGAGAAGCCCAAGTGTTTCAATAAATATTTCGTATCCTTATCCAACAATATATGAATGCAGAACGAACTGGGTCTTTGTGTGCTTAACGTCGCACCAACACTGGAGATGTAATACTGCGACTTGCCATGTCCAGCTTAACTGGTTAATGTAGACGCCGCCTTTCCTTGTTGAACTTGTTTTAAATTATCATATTTCAGGGGCATTTTTTAGGCACGAACAGGCACCTGAATGGGACCATCGAAGTTCCATAAGCTAGATGGATAGCTTCGTCACATGATGCCAATGTTCCTGGCGTAACCTGTTATGGGATTACTAGTCTAAGCAATACGGACATATATTTGGTACACAGCAGAACATATCATCAAATAGTCCATTATATAATTTTTGCTAAGTACAAGTCATATTGTACATAAAACTATTACATTATCTAAACAGCATAAATACAGAAATTTTGAATGCACAATATAATAATATGCGTACGGACCATGAAACAACATGATGAAGTCCCTGTTCGTGCCTAATGTAAAGCCTATACTCAAAAAATATTTTCTATTTCTCTTAATATTGCACACCATTTTCAATGTTTTCAAAAAAAACCTGTTATTAATATAATGAAACTATTTTGTATAATATCTAAACTCAGCGTGTTTATCGTGTTCATTTCTTCATGGTCATATATTACTTCAACACTAGATTAAAAATTGAAGAGGAAAGTGTATACATTCATAAACTACAATGAAGCGCAATATTGCTTGTCTTGAATATCTCCTGCCGACTGAAAACAAATAAGTTTTTCTTGTAAACGCATTGAACTTTTGAAGCAAATGTTAGTATAATAATGGCAATAAGTTTGAAAGTCATCAGTTCACGTTTGTGTTTAATTTATTGAATAATTATTCCCAAAGATAGTATTTTTTTAGTGTGTGTATATGGACAGAAAATTACAGAGAAAAAATTAAATGTTTACTGTCATCAAAAGAAAAATATTGTTGTGTTGAAGATGTTAAGTTTTTAATATTTTATATTAATGTTTCCAAAAAAAAAGGACTTTAGAAATAGAGAGCTAAAGACAAAGATTTTTTGACTAACATATTTGTACAACTCAACGGAAAACGCAAAATAAAAATACGCAGATATTTTCCCAATTAAATAAGATGTAATTTACTGTAGATTAACGAGATTCTGACGTTAGGATAAGAAGGTGATTCCGGTCAATATTTGAAAAAGCGCATATTACTGGCTACTTCTGGCAAATTCAATTCTATTAACTTTACTAATGTATTTTACTGCTGCAGGATACTGCCATAATCACAAGTACACCATTCGTAGTGCGAATTCCGTAGTGTTTCGAACTGACCAGGGGAAGTGGGACGTTACAAACATTACGATTATGGTCAGCAGTACTTTTACATTTTGTTATATCATACAGGCATACAGACAAGGGATTAGCCAACGATGTTGTTTACAAACTTCGTAAGATCTTGGGTCATTGTAATGTTTCTAAAATTATTAAACGTGTTATTAAAAGGGGTTATGACCCTACTATTTTAAGACATACCGCATGCTTAGTGTTACAGTTTGACGCTACGCTTTCCTCTTTTGATTACATCTGACGGACCAAGTGGGAGACTCTATGATGGACAGTTCTTAAAGCCCTTTGGGACTGAATTGCCTTAATGTTCGTCTTCTGTCTTGCTGCGTCAGGCCATTGTAGGTGATCTTCTTGTTGCTCTGTCTTCCTTTAAGACATTGAGTACTTTTTGTTATGGTCATTGGGTTTTCTTTTGTATGTTTCTACATGAGCATTTCGATGTTTTACTTATTTCACCTGCTGTTGTGAAGTACAAAATTCTGTTAGAATTTCCTTTGGCGGGGTTTCATTTTATTTACACTGTCTCGTTTATAGGAACATGGTGGGGCTACGAGTGAGGTTTGGTGCTTCATTAAGCGGCTTAAACTCCCCAGCAGTATTTATGCTGCTGACCGTTCCAAGGCGGTGCCCCTCTGTGTTCCTCAAATGTTTGTCTATGTTGTTTTATACTGTTTTGGTGACACTTTTGTGTCTGTTGTTGTTTTCTCGTCTACGGTAGTATCTTCCCCTTTGCCCCTAGTTTTTGTTTATTCTATTTATTCCCCCCATTCCCCTCCCCGGGTCTCATGTCCCCTTTCTCTGTGCCTTTTGTCTTTATGGGCCTAATATTCAATCATTTATTTGTTTTCTTTTAGTTCCTTATCAGTTGCTTATTATTTATTCTTAGGTAGTGGTTTGCCTGCCCGTGCTCTGCCTTGTGCCCTTTCCTGTTTTTGTTTGGGGTCCTCCTGGGCTCCTTGCTACTGGCTCTTGTTACTGGGTCAGGTGGGGGCTGCGTTCATTGAAGCCGCCTTTCCTTGATGATCTTGTTTATCATATTTTTTGTTCATATTTTAATTTGTACTAGAATCTGTACAAAATTAATATTGTTTTATAGTGTATGTATATCTTTAAGACTTACGTTTATACATTATACTTTGAATGTTATTCCGAAAAATTACAATAGATTGTCATTATTTAAGTAAGATAACTATTTTAAGCAAACTTCGAAATATTTCCTGTTACAATGATTTCATATTTATAAGATTAATAAGACCTTTGTAGTGTATTATGTGTGTTGCTCGTCCTTTTCGTCGCTTAAGGCCACTTTGTCATTAATAAAAATTTTTAACATCGGCAGCAGATGTTTTAAGAACATAGACAAAGAAGAAATACTGTCATAATGTATCACCTTTTCTTGTGAAATAAAAGTTGAGACAGTTCATATAAATTATACTGTCTAACAAATGATAACCTTGATTTTATTTCATTAGATAAATCTAACTGCGATTCAAATAAAAGATGTGATTATGCCAGACAAGTGCAAGTTTTAATTTTATATAATCTATGAAAGTACATATTACGTCAACCATTGGAACACATTTATGGGTGTAGATTTAAATACAGGGTATGACTGTTTTAATATTATTTTAATACTAATTTCACTATTATTTTATGCCTGTATATTATTAATAAATGATTATCCTGGGAACAGTGGTTCAGTGATAGCAGATCGAGAAGTTTTTGGTGTAAACATGAAGGCACTGCTAACTTCCCAAGTCAAGACATTTAGTCGAATGTGCTTTTCTCCTTTTTTGCATTTCTTTTTCAATATAACAATAATGAAGGAATGTTGAAATTCTTTTTTTACATGAAAACAATCAGACTCAAATGAAAATGGGTATCTAACAGGACGGTATCATGCTGTCTCTATAGATTTCATTGTCATTTATAAAAAGAAGTCTACTAAAACTATGAAAAAAATAGTATCTATAAGGCCAATGAGTTTACCAAGTGCACGTACGAAACCTTAGACAATATAATGCGTGTTCTCTCTATTTTGTTTGTGACAAAACCGTTATAATTTTGCCAATCCCTTGAATGTAAATTAAGTATCATACGCGACAACGAACCACGAAGGAAATAAACGTGTTGATGTTTAATGTTCGAATTTCATCTTATAGTCATTTTTATAATTAGATGAAAATTTCAATGTTTCTAGCAGTTATCACTAATTCATTCCCATTACGTGTGTGGTATGTTTGAAACGTCAGCAGGGAATTTGAAATACAATAAAGAATTCTAATATTTTAATCGTCTTCGACATGATGTTTTTAAGTGACTTAATGCACATACAGGTCAAAGTAAAATGTTAACTTATTCAATTTAGTCAATAAACCACGTGGCTCACAGAAAATTCTTAAATACCAATCGGAATGAAGATCTCGCCGTTCAATTGATAAAGAGAGAACGACAGTCTTTAAATGTTGTATTTCATACTGGACATTATTTAATATTCTAACACGACCCGCATTTTTCCCTATTGAACATAGAAGAAACCAAAGTGTGTGTTATTATGCTATAAAATCACTGTTTGACGTTCTATATTTAGACATGTGACGTAATCATTATACACGTGACGTAACCACTAAAAATGTGACGCGCTGACAATAAGTACGGAAACAAATCAGGTGCAATTTAGCTAATTATCATGTACGGCAGCATTTATTTGTTGATGTCGTGTTAGAATCGAAATAATATATCCAAATCGGTGATTTTATTGCTTGATAACATCACTGTTTGTCGTTCGGATGCGCATCATTATATCACTCGGGCTACGCCCTCGTGATATAATTCCCCGCATCCGAACTCCAAACAGTGATGTTATTGAGCAATAAAATCACAGTTTGGGATATATTATTTCTTAAATATTATCAATTATTGGTCAATGTATATTATAATCTTTTTAAATATACATTTACCAATTCAACTCGACAACGATACAATGAGCAGAATGTCACTTTTTAAGACATGCAATCATATCATATGCTTAACTCATGTACAATATGCTTTCATTTTAAGCTATACTGATATGTTTCCATGTGGTTCGCGTAACACATTTTTTTTCAAATATTGTAAAGTAATTTGCTACATTTTTTTCCTTTCCAGTTTGCATTTTGAAATGAAAGAATGCTTAATATTGGTGTACATGAATGTGGACTTTGACTCATTGATCAAAATTTTAAACATTAAATATGGCAATTTAAGCATATGGACGACCGAATAATAAAAAAGTTAAAATGCAGAAAATTCAATTAAATGAGTGATTCTTTTACTGATAAATTCTGTCAAATCTAAATGAATGTAAAATGGATGAAAAGTACAGTTATGAAAGTACTAGGTTAGTTTTTCAATCAGTGATTTCATTTTTTCCTGTTTATTCCATATTTATCGTAACTATAGCATTTATTTCGGCCAACTTTTCTTCATATAATATTGATATTAACTTTAAGACATAAGAAGTAAACTATTTACCAAATGTGCACTGCATGACACATGGAACCAGGTGTTCAATATCATAACAAGGATCAGTTAATGGAAAACATGTTTACATAGTGATTTCCCCCATGGGAATAAAATGTCATTTGCAGAGCGACAGTTATTTAATAAAAAGCAAGGTGTCTAATCCTTTCAGGGTTATGAAGTACTATATATGACAGGACGTGAATAGATATGGAATACTGGTAAATTTGGTAACTAATTAGTTTAATCGAATTTTATTGCTGATATATACATGACCTTACAAACAGAAACAAAATGATAACGCAGTGACAAATAGCTAAGGGTTGGGCTTAAGTTCTAACAAGCCTTCCACTTTACCTTTGGTAACGAATAATAAACCTAATACAGCAGTTGTTAGACAAGTAAAAAAGTACATGTTTACAATATTTTGCAGCCCTATGTTTGTTTGATGAATAATATTTGAAATAATATATAATGAAATTTGTGTACTGTGAAAAAGTACTGTTACCTTACAGTAAAACATTTTAAGTTATATGGTATACTTGAATTGTTTTAAACATATTTATTTAAGCTCGATTGCGAAACAAGTTATTGCAACTTATATTAATCACTTTTGAGTCCGCTTCCTGGAACCAACCAGTACTGGTGTCATATGAAGAAACATGGACGTGACCCGAGTAGGGCTCGAACCCATGATCTCTGGGTTGACAGACAGACACCTTAACTACTAGGCCACCGTTACCCTTTGAAAATGTTGCAGACTTGGTTTGAATAAGTCTGTTCATGGACGGAACTCGTAAGTACATGTAAAATCTACCGCGCACGTCCTTCGCGTCTAAGAATCCCGAATTCCTCATTCAACGGCACATTTTG